AAGCCCGCGTGCAGCAGCAAAGACCCAACACAGCCAAAAATAAATAAATAAATACAATTTTAAAAAAAGAGCAGATTGCTCCATCTCCTATTAAAAAAAAAAAAAAGAAAAGAAAAGACTAATAGATAAAACTGATTTTAATAGAAAAAAACCCATCAAGCAATAAGATAGCTTTGTCTTAGCAAAATGATCATGGAACCTAAAATTCTTAAATTTTAAATTTGCCTTTGTGATGTGTTTTTCTTGCCTGTAAACTCTTTGCCAAAGGTTTTGCTCTCTCAGGCGGTGCAGTTCTCTGTGTAATTTTACAAACTCTTGCCTATTTGTCGTATTAACTTATTCAGTGTTTTAGAGAGAGAATTAGAAATGGTCTTGTCCAAGGTCATGCCCTGAGCCAGAGTTGAGCTCAGGTCTCAGGAGTCCTTGTCTGCGTTCTCTCCGTCATATCAAGGGTCAAAAACGCAAATGCTTAAAGGAGTCAGACAGGCAGCATAAATGAATAAACAGACCAGGCAATGAGGTATTTTTTACTTCTACAGAGAAGTTTCTCTTTTCAGCTCTCAGTACTCTCGGGCTGAATTCCATGTTCCCTCCTTTGACAGAGAGATGGGCATAGAGAAATAGATTGCTACTACAGGTAAAACATTAGTGCCATCATGATGATAAATTGAGTGGTGGTGCCTCTCACAAACTGGAGGGTGCAGGCCTGTCTGAAGGGATCAGTCACCACTCAGCTCCAGCTGACCCTTGCCATGGGGGAATATGGTGACGCAGTGTTTTACATTCACCAGTTCTTCAAGAGAAACCAAAATCTGGACTTAAAGTGAAATCTCCCAGTTTTAAAATATTGGCTCATTTTTAAACACATTATATATCCCACGTAAAATACATCTGTGGGCCAGATGCCACCTCATACTACCCATGTATGATCTCTGTGTTATACTGTATTGCATTTCTATTTTTCCCATGTTCCAAATGCAGGTGCCACCTTAATAAGGAAATGCCAAAAAGCCCCACAATTCTAGTTATGTATTGTAAGATGGCCTTTTCCTCTTGATCCTGACCTGAAAGCCATCCTGAGGAAGATCTGACTCCACCCAGCTTAAGCTTCCTACCTATCCAAATAGTTTGTAGCCTTTTCTGCCTTCTCCTACAGCTGCCAGCTCTCAGAGCTGACATCTCAGAAGATGGAGGAAACAAGGAAAGAGTCATAGAGTCAGGATGGTTCTGTCTATATATTTCTAAGGCAGCCACTTGGCAAATATAGTTATTGTCGTCACACTTGTTATTGGGAAACAAATAACCACTTAATGGGACGCTGTGATCTTCTATACTGTGCTAAATGTATTAGAGAACAGAAGTAGAAAGATCAACCCTTGCAACAGGCACTCCAGGCTTTTGAAATGAGTACTCAGTTATTCGACAAACTGGCTCCTTCTTTGTTAATCAGGGTGGGCCTTTGTCATCAGATGCTGTGGGAAAAAAAAAAAAAAAAAACTGCAGCTGACCTTTTAAGGTCTTGTTCTTCCAACCATTTTTACTCTTTTGGTGGTACTTCCTTCTCTTTAATAATAGGTGTTACGATCTAAAAGCCACCTGTATATCACTCACTGCAACCTTCCCTGCAAAGCAAATTTTACTGTCCACATTTTACAGTTGTAAGAGAAGAGGCTCTGAGAGGTCAAGTAACTTAGGTAGCAGAGAATATAAGTATAGACCATGAGTTTTGAACCTAAGTCTGTTTCCAAAGCCCGTGTTTTCAGCTACTGTCTTAAAAATGTAGATTTTATTATTATTCAGGAATGATGAGGCCAGCAGATCAGGAGATGATTGCCACTGAAAGGATAGTTTGTTACAGTTCTCCAGAAGAGGAGGCCGGCTAAACCATGCAGGGCCAAATGGGAAGCACTAAGGTTGTCCCTAGTTGTCTGGTACCTGGCTCTGGGGTGATTAGAGCAGGGAAATAGAGGAGGTGGTGAGGAGGTGTGCTCTGTATTAGTCAGTTTGCATATGAAAGGCATGCTTACAGGCCAGTGGGGTCCTTTACTATCTCTAGGAATTGGCTAGCCCTGGAAAGGGCAGTCTCTCCAGGGTCAACAGGGCCCCAGATCCCAAAGCATCACAAATACAGAAAAATAAAAAGACATGATTAAAATGCCCACATTTCCTTTAATTAGACCCAAAAGTTCAAAGCCATCCTTTCACTCTGATTTTCTTATGCTCTGTAACTACTCAGTCACTAAGTTTTGTTTTATTTTCTTCAAAATGTGTCTCATTCATTCTTTCGAGATGCCAAGCATTATAGGCACTGAAGAATGGGAAATAATGAGGTTTTTGATTTAAAAGAGCTCAGAGCATAAGGTAAGAGATAGACATATAAACTAATCGTTATTGAAGAACTTGATAAATGCTGCAATAGAGCAAGGACAGGGGATATTCGTGCCTTGTATTCCCAATGTCTGCCTCTGAGCCCTGTCTGTGTTTCCTACCCTCTGTGCCTAGTCATCTCCCCATTGTACATACCCTACTGGGTTAATTTTCCTTAACTTGTCATTATTTTGCTCCACAAATCGAAATAATTTCCGGTGGCCTACAATTCAGTAAAACAATAGTCACTTATCTGACTTTTAAGAACCACTGTCTGTCCATACCCTCCTCATGCATCCATATTTTCACCACTTCATTTATTCTCTAATTTAACATACAGTTACCCTCTGACCAATGTGTGCCCCACACAAACAGACACAAATATAAAGCGTGGTAAGTGCTCCCAAGAAGTACATGGTATTCTGTGGGCATGTGGTCCATTATGGTTTGTACATCCCACATTTATCCAACAAATACTTATTGAGCATCTATGATATGCCAGTCTCAGGGCTAGACCAGCCTTCTTACTGTCTATACCCAGATTTGTCTTTCCATCTTCATATCTCTACTCATCACAGCCTCCTTTCTGGTATCCCTTGCCTCTAGCCCTTTACTCCTCCAAACTGCCTGTTCTTGGCAATTATTATATATACAACTATATAATAATTGCCAAATATTATATATACAACTATGCAGTAATTGCCGAATTATTGACTTCTTGCTTTATGCTCTTGTATGTATTTCTTATTTTCCACTCTATCCCAGAGCCTAGTCCCAGTACCTGGTGTATTAGGCATTCGGTAAATACCAAATAACTGCATTCATGCATGTGGGACACATGCTAGCTTCTGTGCTTCCTCCGGGAAGCTCATTTAAATCTCCCTTCTCTGACCTCCTAAAGCACTTCCCATAGAAACTAGCCTCAAATCAAGTAATGGCTTTAATTATCCATTATTGATGCCAGTGGCTTCATTGTGATGCTCCGACTGGACTGCAAACTCTTTAAGGTCCAAACCATGCCTCATTGCAGTAACCCCAAACTGAACCTTCAGCAAGTAAATATTCAAAACCTGGATGATTTTCTTTCCGTTGAAATCACCAGTTGCTTTGGTATTATTTTGACACATTTCTACACAAATGGAATTTGACAAGTTATACCTGGAAGTTGAGTAGACAATGTGACATGGTAGTTAAGACCAAGGACTTTAGATACAGAGAGACCTCAGTTTGAGACCTAGATCTGTCACTTAACTCCCCTATGACCTTAGGCAAGTTACTTAATCTCTTCTAGTCCTGGTTTTCTCATCTCCATGGTGGCTAATAGTATCTTCTTCACGGGAATGTTGTAAGAAATAAATGAGATAATGTATGTAAAATGCATAGCTTAGTATTGGTATATGGTAAATGAGTCAATAAATTTTAGGTGATATCATTTATTGTGTTGTTGGCATTATGGTAGGCACGCTCTGTGTTGCAGAAATCCTGTTTTAAAAGGAGACTAGGACGGGGTAAGGGGGAGAGGAGGTCGCTGAAGCTCAGAGCAGATAAGTGACTTGCACAAGGTCGCATAGCTAGTTAGTATCAGAGCCAGAACCCAGACCCAGCCTCGGTGACTCCAGAACAAAATCTCGTCCTCTTTACGCAGACCTGACGCTCAGGAAGCATGCTCAGGGAAACTGTCCCCGCGAGGCCACGATAACCGGTCTGTCCGTAGTTTGAATGAAAATAAATAGATCAGAATGGTTGTTTTGGGGATTCACGTAAACGTTGAGACAATACACAGATTAGGTTCAGGAACTCAAGCCCATTGTTGGGTGTGGTTTAGCAAGCAGAGTCACAGCATGGGGAAGCACATCCCTTCCTGATGCATAGTGCATATTATTTTGTTTAGAGCCACCAAGTGGATTAAGGAATAAATCCTAGACGTGGAATTTCAGATGAGAAGATGGTTGTCTGCAGAGCTCAGACATTTCTGTCCTTGGAGAGAGAGCTCTGTCCCAGTTTCCCGTGCGATAACTTCTAAGTCAGGGGAGATTCTCTTGACAGCTCTGGGGCAACTCTTTTTTGTGTTTTTTAAACTGGGACTCCCTCCTCATAGACTCTTTCACTCAACTTCTCTGTTAGTAAGACACAGAGAATAATTCAAGGTCTGACATTGCCCTGGGGTAACAGCGTGGGGTAACCGGAGGGGGGATGATGTAATCCAGAGGCCAGTGCTTTTAACACCCAGGCCGGCCCCCCTCTACCTCATTTACCCTGAGTTACACCTCCTTCTCATGCCTCTGTCAAACCTCATTCTTGGACCTGATACTACCTGCTGCTACCAGTTCAGCCTTGGGAGTTTCTTTTCCTGCTGTTCTACCTGCTGCTACCAGTTCAGCCTTGGGAGTTTCTTTTCCTGCTGTTCTTCTCTTTAAACTTCTTTGTTTTTATAAATCCAAGAGGCCAGCAGTTGGTTAAACAAAGCTAGATTTCTGAAAGAGCTGAGACACTCTTGCTGAGTTAGCATTTTAATATTCTTGGATCCTCTGTAGAGAAAGAATTGAAAGAAACAGACATTTTAATATATCTTCTTCTGGCTTCAACATAGACTAGAGAAGCTATAAAATTGACCCCTCTCTCTTGTTTTTCAGATAGATCACATGGTGCAGGGCCATGCTGCCTTCCCAGAACTACAAGCCAAGGCCACAGCCAGGTAACAGCTCTCTCTGTTCTCTACAGTTTTCCATGCCCGACCACATTAGGGGCACTGACTTTAGGCAGCTGCATGATTTTCAGATCCTGTGAGCAATGAGAATGCCTGGCAGTACTTGGTTATAAGACAGTCATCTGGATGAGCCAGGACATACATGTATTAATTTTCAAAACAATCTAAGAGAATTCACAAAAAAACTAGAGATCCTCCAAGAATATGCCAGTAATCATGGTTGAGAAGCTCTGACATAGAAGAAAGAGCATGGATTTTTTGAGTCAAAGTTTCTTGGATTCAACTCCAGTTTTTCTCCTTAATAACTATGTGACCTTGGGCAAGTTATTCAACTTCTTTAAGCCTGTCTTTTCATCTGTGAAACAGGATAGTAACTGATAGGAGTGATTTCTGGAATATATTGTTAAGTGAAGAAAGCAGAGTATATTATTTATTTACTTATTTATTTATTTATTGGCTACGTTGGGTCTTTGTTGCTGCACGCAGGCTTTCTCTAGTTGTGGCGGGCGGGGGCTACTCTTCATTGTGGTGCATGGGCTTCTCATCGTGGTGGCTTCTCTTGTTGCGGAGCACGAGCCCTAGGTGCGTGGGCTTCAGTAGTTGTGGCTCACAGGCTTAGTTGCTCCTCGGCATATGGGTTCTTCCCTCACCAGGGTTCGAATCCATGTCCCCTGCGTTGGCAGGTGGATTCTTAACCACTGCACCACCAGGGAAGTCCATAAAAGAGTGTTTATAATATACTCTTTTTTATGTAAAAAGAAGGTGATATAAGAAAATATATGTGTACCTACTCATTTATGCAAAAGAAATATAGGGAAGTTAAACTAGAAACTCATGAGGTTGTTACCTATAGGAGGTGGGGTAGGAATGGGATGGAAATAATGGGGAAATGGGAACAGGGTAGTAGGAGGGAGCGACACTTCTTCGAGTATACCTGTTTATATAACTCATACTCTTAGAATCATGATGATGCTTCATGTCCCCCTGAAAATAAATAAAAGATAGATAGATAGATAGATGATAGGTGGATGTGTGTGGTGGGGGTGAAATACAAACAGTGAAAAAAATGAACCTGTAGTATTAATAATAAATAGTATGATCATACTAATGGGGGTTTGGGAAAGAAAAGAATTAACCTAAGTAATTTCTACAAAATTATTAGCCAATATGCTTCAAAGATTAGGAAGCTTAAAGAATTACTAGAGAATTGTCCCAGATTTGAGGAGACTAAGATGCTACTACATCTAGAAACAATGTATGATCATGGGTTAGATCTTGGCCAGAAAAAAGCACATTAGTGGGGAAAACTGTCAGCATTCAGATAAGTATGGAGATTAGTAATAATACTGTATTTATGTTAATTTCTTAGATGGTGGGTATAGGGGAAGTCTGCATACTATTTTTGCAATTTTTCTGTAAATCTAAAATTATTTTGAAATAAGAAGTTTGAAGAATAATTATTGAATGAATTTCATGATAATAATGCTTAGTAGTTGGGCTTTTTAACAAACGTAAGGTATTTTATAATATTTTCAGAGAAACCCCATTCATGTAGCTAGTACCTGGCAAAAGGGAGATAGTCAAAGGTGGAGGTTACTATCCTAGATCCTGGAGCCAAATTGCCTGTCTCAGCTGCACCCTTTAGTAGCTTGTTACCCTGGGCAATGTACTTAACCTCACTGTGCCTTAGTACTTCACTGTACAGAAAAATAATAACAGTAAACACCTCATAAGGTTGTTGAGAAAATTAAATGAATTCAAATAGTGTCTGGGATATAGCAACAATTGCTGAGCTATAATAAATATTCAGTAAATGGTAGTGGTAGTGATAAAATTTGTAGTTACTCGTATTAGACATTTCCATTCCACCAAGGGACGTCTGTTCTTATGGGGAGGCACACCTGCACAGAGCAGAAGGAAGTGCATACTGACTAGAACATAAACTCTGTGTCATCAGGGTGCAGAGGAGGATTGATCCCACCAAGGAGTTTGAGAAAAGTTTCATAAGCTTTCCCTTCTACGAGTCTCTAGTTACAATGTCATTACCATCTACAGGGATCATACCACTTAGCCAATAACTAGCACTTTAGCTGGCTTAGAGACCACATAACCTAGAAGAGGGATGCCTAACCTCAGATCACCAGGGAACCCCTTAATTGTGTGCAGAGTTCTGTTGATTATATACTTACGCGTACATTTCTGGGAAGAGGGGCCATAGCTTTTATCAAATTCGTGAGGGGATCCAGCATTTTAAAACCTCTAACCCAAAGGAAAGAGCACAGATGTAGAGTTTAGAGATCTAGATTCAAATCTCAGCTCCCACATACGTAGCTGTTTGAACCTTAGTTTCCTTATCAGAACATGGGATAGTAGACATGAGAGAACCAGCCATGCATAGCTCTGAGAATTTATTTTGAGTTTACAGAAGCAATGTATTTGGAAAGGCTTCGTAAACTGTACGATGACAATGACAACAACCACTACTACTACTTCTACTACTATTACTAATGATTATAAAAGAGGTGGACATTTTGGAGGGGATTGTTCTAGGGTTAAGAGCAGATGTCATCACCTGCCTGCCTTCTCATGGAGTAGCAAGAACACTGGACTGAAGTCTTGGCTTCTGGTACCAATTCTGCCATCAATGTCTTGGTGACTCAGTTTCCTCACCTATAAAATTACAATGATCCCACCCTGCTTAATTCATTTTCCAGGTGTTATGAGGATGAAAGTAGACCGTGGAAATGCCAGTCTCTGAAGATCTTAGACCTCAACGCAAATCTGAGGGATAGGTTAGACTTTGCAATGAAATACTCAAAATGTCCAGAACTTTCTTCTGTAGCTGAACCTCATGTGAGTAGTTTTGATTGAAAATAGGAAGAAAGGGAGGATTTATGGATTAGCATGTAAACCCAGAGAAACAGCAGCACAGTGTGGTCCAGAAGCAGTAATTTATAGAATTCAATCTTAGAGTCAGACTGGATTTACATCCCACGTCTCTTCACATGCCAGCTGACTTCATCCCGCTTTCCAGCTACCTCTCTGTATTTTTCCCTCTCTTTAGAGCTAAGTTGCTCCAAAGCATTGCCTGTACTCTTGGTCAGTTTCCTCACTCCTCCCTTGCCCACTCCAGTTTGATTCTGTCACCATCGGCCCCTGAAACGTTTACTGTTCAGGTCCTCGGCGACCACAGGATGTCTTCCAGTCCCCTTCCTTGAGCTCTCAGCTCCACGTGGCACCAGTGATCACTCCTTCTCCTTCCCACACTCTCTTTTCTTGGCTTGCCAGAATGTCACTCTCACCTAGTTTTACTTCTGTATCTCTGACAATTTATTAATCTCCTTTTCAGGCCTATGATCCTTTCCTCTGTCACTAACAACAAAGTTCATCACAGCTACATTCTTGGACCTCTTCTCTCTTTGTGGTCTTTTCCATGATCCCATCTACATTCTTGGCTTCATTTCCTGCTGTATTTTGATGACTCTCAAAATTTTATCTTCAGTTTGTATATACTTAGTAGGCATTCAATATTGGTTCCCTTCCCTTCCAATTTCTTTTTATTGTCTTGCAAAGGAAAATGTGTCTCTATCGTATCAGATCTATAAATAGACTATATCAAGACTAGCACTCACTATGCTTCAGATCTTAGAAATAGGAATAGTTGTTATTAAGTGAAGTTAGTTATTTGGAAGGGACAACAAATCCCTTGGGTTCAAAAACTGTATGCCTCTTACGGTGCGACTTAGTGCTGTCTGCAAACAGCAATGCAGGTCACCCCTATCTCAGAGCTTAGCATCAGCAAATCCTATTTGAAACCATAGAAACAAGTGTTGATAAACAGATTGAGTATTTTATACTCTTGATTTACTGTAATCCTTCTAGGCTTCATCCTGAAGAGAAGCCTTCTGTGAGCTTATGAATTAAGTAAACAATAACTAGATGTACCCATGCATGTAAATGGCAACCGGAGTCTCTTTCTATGTAGGGCCAAGTATCCAGAGATGTTACTCCGTAGCCAGAGATCACCTTCCATTGATTACAACTTCAGCTCTTTTCCTCTAAACTGCCCATTATTGTCTTACTTTTCTTAAAGAATCTTTACCAGTGGTTCAGAATGAGGTTATGGTGATGGCACAGTTCGGTGGGAAGATGTTGGCATAATCCACAAGTGCTGGATTCACGGGTGACAGCAGAGCCAAGGTTAAAATCCAGGTCCTCTGACTGTCTGATGAGTGTCTTATGAGCACTTATGGTATAACGGTGAACAAAGAAAAAAAAAAATCCCTGTTTTCATGGAAATTGTGCTCACGCACATACACACACATATACCTATATGTGCGTGCGTGTATGTTTATGTTTGTATGTATGTAGAGAGAGAGAGAGAGAGAGAGCACATACTCCAGGAATTGGTAAGCATTCTAAAGAAAAATAGAGATGAGTAAGGAGACATAGAACGACAAGAGGTGTTGGAGTGACGGATGGGAACTATTTCAGGTGAAGAAGCCGTCCTTGATGAGGTGGCACTCAAACAGGACTCTGAACTGAATAAAGAGAGAGATCAAGCCATGGTTATATGGAGGAGATCCCTTTAGCCCAAAGGAACAGCAAGTCCCAAGGCCGGGAAGCAGCAGCCAGCTTGGCAAGCTCAGTGGACATTGTAAAGGGCACTGTGACTGACCAAAGTGTGAGGGAATGGGGGACAGATGAGAGGTAAAAGTTAGCCAAGGGTCAAACCATGCGGGTCATTGTAAAAAGCTATAAGACCACTGCACTTTTTCCAAGATTTTTGTTTTTGAGCAAATGGTAGACACAGTCAGATTTACCTTTTAAAAGGATTACTTTGGCTGCTCTGTGGAGAATAAACCAGACCATTGGTGGGAACGGAGGGTCAGTGGAAGACATGACTCCTGACCTCAGCAAGTTTATGGTCTACTGGAGGAGGACTGGAGACAGAGAAGCCCAGCCTGTTCTGAGCTCCTTTTTCAGCG